CAATCAGTTTTTAAATTTTGATTCTTCTAACTAGATCACAGCCTTAGGAACCTGAGTAATTTGAGAAAGATTTTTTCACCATATATCTAAATAGCTCAGTAGCACAAAATTTGTATGCTGATACAAACTTCCATATTTGTTTTAATAATCTCAGGTAAACTAGTTAATTTCTAGTCAATGACTACTCGAGAAGAGATTCCTGAAGAATATAAGCATTGAACACAATTAATGCAAGCATGAGGCAAAATAAAGGAAAACACCTGCCCCGCCCTGCCCCATTTTGTAACAAGTGTTATAACACTACATAAGCATGAAATATAATTTGTAATACTGCATTTCTTGGAGATCATCAAAATCCACCTGAACGTGGCCCTAAGCAGCCTCCTTTGAGGGACCCTGCTTTAGGCAAGGGATTGGACTTTGTGATCCCAGAGGTGCCTTCCCACCCCAGTAATTCTGTGAGTCTGTATTGTGTCAGTAGTGACTTGTTGCACTGCATCCACCCTTGTGCTCTTGATCCCTTAAATTCTGTGGATCTCTTGCTGGTGGGGAAGCTCCTGATCAGGGTACACAGTACATGTATATGGGGTAGCACAGTTCTCTTTCTTTTATACCTTAGGTACAGATATGTTAAATGTATTCAGGGTGGGAAGGATTCAGTCTCACCTGAGTTGGCTTGATGCTGTTCCACTGATATAAAACAAAATCCAAAAAACAACAACAACAAAAAAAAACCCACCATGAAGATGTGCATATGGAGAGTATTTATGGTTTGCCCTGGTTTGTAAACTGAACAGCTGAACTGACTAGCAGATTCAAACTGACAATGGGAGGCCCAGTTCTTTTGCTACTCCCCCATATGTGGATCCTGGAATACTCACCACTGAAGAGCTAAGGTCCTGTGGAGAGCATTTTATGATTCAGGTCCTGTGGTGGAGCTCTCTTTCTCTGAGCCTTGCAGACACTGGACATGCCAAAAATCCAACAAAGGAAGTGGAAAGCGAACTCCTTCCCAGTGGCCCAAGTGGTTACTTTCTAGCCCCATCTTCTATTGAGTTTGTCTTCGTTAATAATTTTCTCTACTGCTTGTAGATCTCCTTTACAAGCAACATACAGCTGACTTTTTGAATTCCAGAAGTGACCCCAATTATGTTCAGCAGCAGCAGCAGCAAAGGAGATCCTATTTGTTTTCATCTGCTGCCTGCCAGCTACTAACAAAATTGTTTGAGTCATCTCTAAAGGCTCCCCTGAGCTGTGCCTGAAAGCTTTTCTTTTTGCTACAGTTGCAAAAGTAATCTACAACCTTGTCTTTCTAGCATTGAAACTTTCACTGGGCTCCTTGTTCAGGAGACTGACATTCAACTGTTGCTCAGGCTTCTAAAGCCCAACCATAGAGTCTCAGGGTTCCTATCACACACCTGAGATGTTTTAGTGTCAAATGTAGTTCAAGCTTTTAATAAGATGCATATTTGCTAGTTTTTTTCCTTAAATCAATGAGTGATCTGGAAGTAAACTGTGGCAGTATACAAGGAGAAAAAGTAAACCCAGTCATCCTCAGATGAGTGAGACATAAGAGAATACATTAGTTTGCATGTAGTAATTAAGGTGAATGTTTATGTTAGGCTCCAGTGCACCTTCCCAGGAAACAGTTAGAATTTGCATGTGGTTTTGTATCATCAACTAGCCCAGTAATTCTGTCTAGGAGTCACTCACTGTATGTAGACCAGTATTGGGTGTCCCCGTTTGCAGCCCTAGTAGGTTAACTGTATTGCAGTGGTAGCTAGAAAATGTATTGAAATAGGTAAAATTGTGTTTAGAGAAGGCAAGAACAAGGCTTTACTAGTCAGTGGTATTTTATGCAAACTGTTGTAGGGTGACAATCTTAAGGTTATGGAAGACAGGAAATAGAGGTTGGTCACTTTTCTGCAAGTTGATACAATCTTTAACATCAGAATTTGTTGCTCACAGGTTATTCTAAAAGTCTTAAAAACCTCAGTAAATTATTATTTATGAACCATAATATTTTAAATACATATTGTCTTACTAGAACTTGCAAGTGCTGCTAGTTTTGTAACTTGATGCCTCTTTAAAACATTCACTATGTGAAAGCTTGTATGCAATGGTATTAAAAAAAACCTGGAGACAAGGTGGTTATCTAAATTTGTTGTTCCTGTAGCAAATGTTCAACAAGCTACCTTCACTTTTGTTCCTTAGTGTATGCTTAAAACATGATGCCACTCTATGAACAAATTAATCTCAAGATAAGCAGAGGTTTCCTACAAGCAAATGTAAAATCTAGTCTTTCAGTAAGTAAACACATTGCTTCAGAAGCAGCTAACTTGATAGGAAAGCCATCTGAAGACAGTGCTACATAGGAAGAAAGAAACCTTGTTTTTAAACTGATTGTGCTTCTGTCATTTGATACAGCCATGTAAAGAATAGGGCATTTTGTCCTAAAGGGCAATAGTAACAGGGGCAAATTTAAACGCCCCAGGTAAATAGTTTTGGACTTTCAGTCTTTGAAAAACAAAACAAAACAAAAATGCAAACAAAAATTAAACACACACACAGCCCCATTGGTTTTCCAGATTTTCTGTCCTAATTTAAATAAAATTTCACAAAAGAAATTACTTAGAGCCTTGCTTTAGGAATTATGAACAAAATGTTTGTGTTTAGTTAGGTGGGAGTTGAGCAGTCAGTATCCTTGACAATACTGCTAGTGATGTGTGGTGAAGATGTAACCAGTGGTTTCCTTCTGTCATTATTGTTTGTGTTGCTGTAGTACCATGGTGATCCATCTTTGGACTGATGTTTCTTGTGCCAGTCTAGATACTGTCTTTCTCTAGGGAATTAAGAACAACTCAGCCCAAGACAACTTGTGGGCAGTTTCTTCTTATGACACTGTGCTTAGATAGCTGCATATTGATAGAATTCCTGTTTACCACAATATAAAAGCAATAATGTATACTGTGATGTCTGTGTAATAGAGATGTTTACAATGGTTGCAAATAAAGAATAGTTTATTCCAAAATATTGTCAACAGTCTTGTCTTTGGCCTGCTAGAAAATGTAACAATTTTCAGTTTCATGCACCTGCACTGGGATATGAGTGCAAGCTTTATCCTAATTTATTCTTTCCGCCATCCTCCTGACTTGCCTCCAGCTTGTTTAGAGGTCCTTGGTTCTTGACTGTTAAGCAGATGTACTCTGCTGTAAGTGCTAGTGGTTTGTTACTGCTTCATTTCAGTTGCTTTTAAAATCCTCACTTGAAAAGAAGCTCTGTCTTAAGCTTTAAAGAAAACAAAAGTGCCAAAAAAAGAAAAAAAATCCACAACACAAAAAAAAACCCCTAATCAAACCCAAAAAACCCTGCAACAATAATTTTATTTGAAGGTCCTGGAAGTTAATTCTCAGAGGCCACTCAAAATGTGAGTGTTTTGAGTGTTTTTGTTCAGGAGGAAAGAAATTTAAAAGCTGGAGAACAACTCTGGAGAAAGAGAAACCCTCAAGCATTGATGGTTTGTTACTTTTTTTCAGACTGTATCTTCTGGCATGCCTTCATACAAGCGATGTTAAATAATTTGCTTGGGATTTTTCTATTTATTTGTATCTCTCAGGCAGCTTTTGTTTCTTCTCCTGAATTCTGGAGAACAAATGCTTCTATTAATGTACCAAAGTGCCATTCCATGAGAACTAGAAGATCTCATCTGTAGCAATTTTTTATTTCTACAGAATCACAGAACAGGCCCTGCCACTACAGGAGCATCCCAGTCCTCCAAACTCCAAATGCCAGGCTGATCAGTTATGGAAATATGTTATTTTAGAAAACAGAGATCTTGAGTACCACAGGAAAAGAAGAACTGGAGCTTAATTGTCTTTTGAGGTATCTGCCACCATTTATCAGGAACACCTTGCACTGCTGTTAAGACTGACTAAGCTGTTATTTCACAGCTTGCATTCCCAGCTCTAAGCCATTCTTGCACAGTGATGCTGTTGCTATCAATACATGTTGCAATTTTCTATTATTAACCATTTTCCAGTGTAATGTTCACTGCTACATTTTTGTTTTGTTATTATTTGCTATCAGGCCAATTTCTGGCTTTACTATTGAATAAATCAGCATTTTAAATTGTGGCAGTTTTGGCTGGGGTAGATTTAATTTTCTTCCCAGGGGCTGGTATTGGGTCTGTGTTTTAGATTTGTGCTCTACACAGGGTTGATAATACAGAGATGTTTTTGTTACTGCTGAGCAGGGCTTACACAGAGCAAAGACCTTTCCTGCTTTTTGAGCTGCCACACTGGAGGAAGCTGGGGGTGCCTGGGAGAGTGGAAGGAGACCCAGGTTGGACAGGTGACCCCAGCAGACCAAAGGGATATTCCAAATCTCGTGACACCATGCTCAGTACCAGACCTGGCTGCACAGCCTTCCAAGCAAAAGCACCATCTCTTTGCCTGACCAACTGCTTTCAGGCTGCTCCTGTTCTCTCCCACAGTTCCTTACATGCCACACCATATATCCCACACCATTCTCCACCATCTCAATTTATGACACAACACCTGATTTCTACTGTAGTAGAAGCTCCACCATTATTATGTAAAAACCCATAAAGTGCTTTTCTCTTTATAACAGTTTTGATGTCATTTTTCCAGGTTTTATAAGTCACATAATGACCTTCTTATCTGTGTAACATAAGTTGTATAACACAAACATTTGCAAGTCTCCACCCTCAGCTGTAACACCTAGAATTCACTGTAAGATGCTACAATGAAGGATGTAAGTGCCACAGAACTTCCAGGTGTTAACAGCTTCTGATTAAGCTGAAAGACAGACTGGAAAAAAAAGCCATACAGAAATATCCTTCAGTTTTTTCTTTTTTTGTAGTGAAAGTTCTAGATAACATAACCTATAAAAAAAGTTCTAAAATAGCAGCCCTCAAATGAACTCTACAAATTCACAGAATAAAGAGACTGAGACAAAGCACAAAAAGCACAAGACATAGGTACTTCTGAAGCCATACTCACTTTATGTGTAACACACCTGCACAATACAGTAAGCCTTTAAAAATACTTACATTTTCCCAAAAGTTTCACACCACTGTATGCTGGTCAGTTGAATTCTTGTGTAGCTTTCTGTTCACCAGATCCCACACAGCTACTAAAGGAAAGGGCACAGCAGATCTTGTCATCAAATAGGCAACTACCAGGTAGGTGGTCCTGATCAAGTGAGCAGCCTCATCCAAACAAACCTGGGAAAGATCAGCTCACCTGGCTGCTACCTATTGCAATGCCACTCTTAAAGAGGACATGGCTCACACTTGAGAGCTTTGCTGATGTGATCAGGAAGGTAAGGAAGGCTACTAGACCAAAACAAAAAAAAGTTGCAAATGGGCTCATGTAAACCAGAGATCCACTTGTGGATGCCTCTTTTTGTTGCAGGTGCCTGAACAGCAAGGTAATTCTTGTCAGCCATTGCATCCCCAGCTATGTGGGTGGAGTGGGAACAAAGCTGGCAAGCCCTTCAAGGATAAATGTTTTGGAGTTGTGTGTCCTGTGTGTCTCTAGGGGTGTGTGTAAGCTTGCTGATAGGCTTAAATTCACTTTAACATAACAGACACCTAAAAGAGAAATATTTTAGGGATCTGCAAACTTAAAAAGGTCAGTAGTCCACTTAAGGAAGCTGAAGACTTCTATGACAGCTTATTCAGCTACCAGACATTATAATAAAGCACCCCACTCTGTCCTTGGTATCTTAAATTAAAAGCAATAGTATTCAAAATGGTGATTATGGCTTCATATTAATATAATTATTTGATACATATGTAAACTCATCCAGTCACAGCAGAAAGACTACAGTGCTTTTTCATACCATTACCAGTAGACATACTAACATTTGTCTGTGTAATAAAGCACAACCACCTCATTTTCCCTCTAGCATGACTTTAATAGTTAAAAATCAAAATCTGTGCAGAGTGTACTTTATTTGTTCACATTACCTATTTGTGGTTAAAAACCACTTCATCTGACAGTTTAAAAGCATTCTTTTAAAACAAAAGAATTAAACATAGCTTGTGCTAAAAAAATCTGCAAGTTACATGGATGCAGTATTATCCAGGAGTATAAAAAAATCAATGGTATTCTACAGAAAATATTCTCAAAACAGCAAATAAAGATTAGGCATGTAGGCATGGTCCTGAAATGAACAAATATGAATTAAAAAACAGCTAACAAAATTTTTAAAAAAATCCTAAATATCTGTATAAAAAAAGCAAGGATTCAAAGTGCAGGTGCTCCAGTTTCCATTTTAACATATTATTCAGTTAGTCAATACAGGATACTATTAATTTCATATAAAGTGACAGTGTTCTCAGTACGATTTAAACATTCAGTTACATTATCTTGCAGATTTTTTTTCATTACTGCTGCTTTACACTGCAGTAAATAAAGACTTATGCAATACAGGCTTTTATTTTTTTAATCTAACAAGCATATAATAGGTTGGTGGTAAAGGTTAGTTTTGAGAACTAAGCTATATTTGCTGTAGATCCAGCCTTAGAAGTAGATATATATATATATATATATAGATATACTTTTTTTTTTCCTAAGCTTTTAAAAACAGACTTCAAATTTTGAAAAGAGACTCTACCAATCTGTTCTGGGACCTGCACACACTGTCTTTGGAGAACACCAGCAAAGCTTCCAAGTCCACTGGTTAGGAACACGGCCCTGGGCAGGGTCATGCTGGAGATCTTCCTTTGATGGCTGCAGCTGGGAAAGGGCTTTCTTTCTGCTGAACTCAGGGAAAGGCAAATGGGCAGAAACCATCACATGTATCCACATTTGCTAATGTGGCAGCTAGGTTAGGATGGACTTCTCACTTTCACTTGAGCATACCAGTCTCAGGCAGAGGAAGTCAGGAGCCAGGCAGGCATCACTTAAGTGGTCTTTCATATATTCAGAAAAGTAAAATCAAATCATATGTCCAAAGCCTCTTTGAAAAAAAAATATGAAATAAAATTATGCTTCAAGGATGTTGCCTGGAACTTATTTTTACCTGAGGCCCTTTTCAAGTTGACAGTGTCCCTTTAAATTTTAGGTTCTTCCTATTTTGTTATTTTTTTTTTTCCCAAGCATCAGATCTCTATGTATGTCTATTTTTAAAATGCACATCAATATTGGCATTAAGTTTACATTTAGAAATTAAGAACTAATCTTTACCATTATACACTGACAGCAATATTAATAATACACACACTTCACTGACAAGCGTAATTTTTTTTCTGTATTTTGAATAAAATTTGCATGTGTAACATTTCCCACAGAAAGAGTGATTATACTTGAAGATAGTTATGTTTGCACCTCAACATTTTCACATTAGTGAAAACAACTATGTTTTGAAAATACCAGGGCCTCTGCCAGGTACTAATAAATAGAGAATAAAAAGAAAAAATGAAATAAAAAACCCGATTGCCTTTTATCCCGACATAGTAGAGATTTCATAGTCACTGGCTGACGTTATTGGTTTACCCCTCATCCTGACGTTTTTAGCATTAGTAATCCTAGCCATCATGGACACAGGCTTGTCAAAGTATCTGACCAGTGCTGGCTCAGTCAAAAGGGAGGCTAAAAATTGTTCAAAGGTGATGGCCCAGTCCCTGTCAATGCTTGTGCTCCTGTGGAGGGCAGGGGTGTGGTTGCTCCGCACTAGAACTGTGTCTTCCCCAATGTCCTCGCAGTGCAGCTTCTCCTCCTCATGTGAGCCTGCGCTCAGCACTGAGTAGGAGGACATGGAACTGTCGTCTTTCGTGTCATCATCGGAAATGAGCATGGAAGAACAGACTCCATTGTCCCTGGGAGAAGAGTCTTCCAGCTTAATATCTTCCATCTGCATTCCCAGGGCACTGTCAGTGCCAGTGGCCTCCTCCTCACTGGCCACAAGGCTGTTCTGGAGCGCCTTGTCCTGTGCCAGGGGGTACTGATGGTGCTCTTTCTTCTGGAACAGCTCACTCTGAATGGCTTTGCTGTAGTTGTTGCTGCTGTCTGTGTCATTGGGGGGCTGCACGCTGAAGAGCTTCCCAACCTCCCCAATCTCCAGGAGCAAGCTTGTTACAGCAGCTGTAGCATGATACAGGTCCTGCTCATTGGGGTCTTCACTGAACATGTTGTACATTGTCTTGCACAGCTCAATGAACTGCCCCTAAACACAGGGGGAAGGAACATTAAAAAGAGCAGGAAAAAATCATGCTGACATCTTCCGAATCAGTTTTCAAAGTCTGGGATTAAGGCAGGACACAAGAGTTTATGTGACTAAAGTGAAACTTGCAATAACCCAGGAGTTGTCTAGGAAGCATTTTCTATGACTGGGCACCCAGATATGCTGTGTGTCTCAAAGGTATTTAGAATAAATTATTGGATGTTTTGTACAACATATCACAAATACAATTCTCTGCAGCCACAGGAGGGCAACAGAGGGTGAGCAGTAGACACTGCATTCATTTTGGTGGATTTTCTTGTAGGAACGATGCTAAGTATAACTAAGGGTTTGCTAAAACTGATGAGACGTTATGAAAAATTAAGGCCTGCAGCACTCCTTAGCTGACAGGAGTTGGATACAAGTATTTTGAAATTCAAAACTGATTAATTAAATAGGAAGATTTGCTCAGGACTACCTTAAGTAAGAATCACTGTTCTAGAGGAAATAAACCTTCCCTATATGCTCTGGAGGAAACAACTATCCCAGTGGGTCTCCTCCTCCTTAGCAGCTGTGGATCTAAGGGCATTGAGACTAGCAGTACAAATTACAAAACAAAAAATACTACTTTCAGGTTATGCTTATTAGACATTAGGACCTGGCTGGTGATATTCAGTGTCACATCCTTTGTCTAGAGATCAAATCAATATGTTTTACCATTCCTATATGTGTGTATCTCATTTTTAGGATGTTTTGGGAGCTGAATACCAGTTAAAGTATTTTGTAAACAATAAATTTCTGCTGACTGCTACTCTGGTAAAAAAGTATCTGCTCAAAATAAAAACTTTGTTCAGTATTAATACATTGAATATCTATAGATATGTGAAGAAAGTTTAAATTTAATGAAAAGTAAGTGTCAGCAGAAGTACCTGGTTCAGCTTGGGCAAGTCCTTTGTGTTTTTTGCTTTGGATTTATTCTCTTGGCTCCACATTCTCATATAAGTTCGACTCTCTTGTGAGCTCTTCTTGCCTATTGCCAACAAATTATCCAGAGATGGAGAAAAAAGTCCATGAAGAAACCTTAAATTATTACCTTTATTCCCCATTTTCAAAAGGAGCATCTTTACATTAAATGAAAGATGTAATTCACACGGAGACACCAAGCATACCTTTATCTGTTTTCAGACTCACTGTAACAAACCCATCATCTACTCCATGTTTGTTTCTGCTGTCTAGGCCAACAACTAGGAAGTGGAAGGGCAGGGGGAGAGAGAGATATCAGTGCAGATTTAGAATCAGACATTGTTTTCACGTGTACAGTGTAAAATAACCAAATGTTTACAAATATTTAAAAACTCTGCAAAAAAAAGCAGAGTAAAAATTACAGGAATAAATGATGATTTTTGCTTATTCTTAAACCTGCCTATAAATTCCATTTAATTTATAATATCACTAGTGAGGTTGGGACAAACTTAGGTTTTGTCCATGTAGTGCAATGATTAACCTATGGCAACACAACACATCCCCTAGCATGATATATGTTTGGTGATTATACTAGTGCATCTTCTTTTGCCTCTCAGGATTTGAAATTGCCATTTCTAGACTATTAACTCTTACCTGTATTTTCAAACAACTTTCATCCCACTTATAACATGAAGGATGGATTATATTTTTCTTGAATCAGAAAGAAACTTCACATCAAGTATCACAAGAAAGAGAAAGCCATTTAAAGCAGCAGTGATGAGATGCTGGCTCTCATTAGGGCACATATGACTTCAAACTGAACTACATTTTGATGTATCTTTTCCTCTAGGTTTTTCAGAATGTTTTAAGTTCTGATCCAAATACATCTTGAAAGTGAATCTATTTATTCTTATTCTCCACAAAATTACTTCTGCTATAACACACTTATAGCATTATTCTGCAAGTACTCCTGCAATGCACAATCCAGGGGGACTCTTAGTGTACACATGCCTGTACCTCTACTGGTATCAACACATATACAAATGCTTCATACTTCTTTTTACAGGGAATACTTTGCTAACAAAGTTTAATCCAATTAAAAAGTAGCTATCTAAAAAGACATGTTGACTGAAATGCCTCATCTGGTCATGCCCAAGACAAAAGATGCCTACCATGTGTACAGTCTGGTGTGATGTCCTCAAAAAAGTATTGAGTAGCTTCAAAAGCAGAGTCTGGTTCTTCTTGCTCAGGGGATGGATCTAAGCAACACAGGAAGATTCTTTCATTAAAAATTCCATCTTTTGATTAAAAATGAAAAGATATTTCCATTAATACATTTAGAATGTGTTTAGTCAGTTTCTAGAAGCAAAGTAGGAGGATGTGATGGGCTAGGGATCATCTCTTTTTAACTCACAGGAGATGAACAACTGGACCTGAATTGTCTCCTTCCCAACATCCAATACTGTCTCACAAGGAGCTGTTTGCTTTCAGAAGCTGGCTTACCCACCTTCCCATGCCTACTTCCATTACTTTCTTCTGTGCAGCTCAGTGTGTCCTAAGCAGAGTGTGATCTCTTTCCTACATGGAAGCAGTCTGTCATCATTTGGTATGAGCTCACCAGTCCCCAGGTATGATAAGCTGCATTCTTAAAATAATATTTTTTTATAATAGTTCAATTTCTTTTTAATTTTAAGTAGTTTTTAGAAGTATTTAAAGTATTTTTTCCCAGTTGAATTATTGACTGACTCAGGCCTACCTCCAAGCAAAGCTGTAACTGGGAGAAGCAATCAGCAATGTTCAAAGCATACAACGAGAGGTGAATGTCCTCTCCAAGTTTTTGGTTATGTTTACCACAGCATGTAAATGTGCACAAGAATTAAACTACCCAAGAAATGTTCTTAAAGTGCAAGTTCAATGAGGACAGCAGTAGGTTCTTTATGGCATGTGTGTGACAAGCCAGAGAGAACACAGTTCCAGTATAGCATTTGCAGAACTGTTCTGAGGTGTTTTCATCCCCTCTCCACCCTTAACTGCTTCTCTCACTTAGCTGAGTCCAGGTTTGTACAGTTCCCTGGAAAACACATCTATGAAACAATCTGGAGCTTCCCTCTGCAAGCAGTTGTGTCAGCCCAGATGGGAAACCAAGAAGAAAGCCTGGGGACAGAAATGAGGAGCCAGGACATGCGGGAACATTTCAAACAAGCTTAATTTTCAAACCCTTAAATAGAGTGCATTTTGGTAACACATGCTGAAGAACACTGGATTTATGCCTGGAGGATATCACCAGCCCCAGCTTAACAGGCAAGAGACATTTATGTTTGTGGAGGGAGAAATTGAGGGCTGTGAGGGTGCTTTCAGACTTTCCAAATCTCTAGTTAGAGTAGAAGCTTCCATATTTTACTGTTGCATAAACAGCTACAATAATTCCTGCAAATTAATTTTTAATTGGGAATACCAGTCATAAACAACTCTGCTCCAAATTTCTGTTCTCATCAAAACAAGAGCTATTTTAATATCATTTACTTACCAGGCAAAACATGCATTTTATACAGCAGCTTCAGCTTCTCTGTAAGATCTCCATGGCACGCTGCACCTAAACAACATTACATGCAGTAGTGCATTACTAGTCAGCATTCTGTGCCATTTTATTTGTTACTGCTGCAATATTTTGTTTTAGAAGCTGCAACATTCACTCTGGGAAGTATTTTACAGCTCAAGATCATAAGGCAGTCACTTGACTCCTAAGATCATATAGTAAAAACAGTATGAGAACACAGACAAATCTACCCTGAATTTCGTACTTCAATCTTGGGTCTATGGTTATGGCATTATCATGCAGAAGGGCCTCCAGCTGGGACTTAACAAGACCTCTTTTGTGAAGACTTTTTGATCTGAGAATCCAACAACAACATCACATGTCTCAGAGCAGTAATATATTTACAAGAAAAAAAAAAAAAAGAGAGAAATTCAAGTACACAGGATTTATCATAGCTTAGCCATGGGCTAAACTGATTTCATGCAATACTTTCTATTGATTTTTCCACATCAACCCCATTTATTTCTGGACTACAATAGAATTAGCTGTATGAAATTCAAGAGCTCTATTGAAGCCCTGCCTTCCAATTAATTAAATGGACAGTAGTTAATTTTAAAGTAACAAAATAACAGATAATCCGACTTTTTCAAAAATCTCATTTGTAACATGCTATCCATAAATAAATGAATTAACTTTCAATAATCAGATTGTGCAGAGATTTATTTTACCTTATAGGTGACTGTGCCATCTTACCTCTGCTATGCAAACTACGGAGTGTGGTGTGGCAAATACTGACAAGCACAGTCTGTTGCAAAGCTTAACACTCCTACAAATATGGATGTTGGGCCAAAAATTTGAGAACATCTACATTAGCCATTATGCTTTCAACATGGTCCTTTTTAAGCACAAAACCGCATTATGTTCCTGTCTGGTGTATCACACCATGCAGAAAATGCATTCTCTTCTGGTAAAGGCAATATGAAATAATCAAAGGACAGAATGGGCTACACTTCTGCATCCTCCTTCAACAGGGAACTGCAATTTTTTTTGATTCAGGGCACAGTGTGACACATATAGGCTTATTCCTCTCTCTGTCCCCAGATATGAAGAGAACTGAAAAAGATCCCATAGCTACTATTTGAGATAAATTTGTGTGTGCTTCCTGATGTACAAGTTTCTTTCCTCCTAATGCATCCCTTTTCCTTTTTGCTTAAAATTAGGAAAAGCATTGCAAGCAGGTCAAGGGAGGTGATCCTGCCCCTGAAAGGCTTGAAGAAGTGGTGAGGTTACCACTTTGCTTTTTGAATATCCTCCTGCATTCTGTAGCTGAAAAAAACCTGTTTGCAAAAATAAAAAATACACTCAGGTACTACTTGCAAGACACAGCTTTCATGATACTGACTTTGACAGCAGGGTGTGAAAAGTACTGTAGTCAGCAGCAGCCACTGGAGAAGTGGGAGAGCTTTGTGCTCTGAGAAAAGTGCATTGCAAAAACATGATGGGAGGCAGGAGGCCACTTTGAATCAATGCGGAGATCTCTGTAGCTTACTTGGAAGTGCAGTCAACAACTGTCATGCTATCATCCACTGTGCTACAAGAGTGCAGGGGAGCTTTGTCAAGAGTGGATAACCCAAAGAGCTCCTAGCCAAGGCTGAAAACCTCTTCTGAGCAGCACAACTCACTGGGCAAACCACTCCTGTATTTGGACTATATTATTGTAACAGGGCACAGAGTAAACATAAAGAATACGCCAGGTTATTCCATCTTTGCTCAGCTGAGGCCCTAGAGGCACCTGAAGTAGGGGGTTCTTGAGCTATTTGTTGTAGGGACAATGAAAAAGAAAAGGAATTTTTAAAAGTCCTGGGGCATGGTGAAATATTCTCAAGCAGGTCCATTGTTCTTTCGTTGACTATATTGTCTTTCCTACCACTTGTGCTTCTGAACAATAAAAGGGGTCAGCAGGGTTGATTTAATTTTAGGGGGAAAAAATAAGGTTTTCAAATTACACCACACTGGGCTTAGTTTCTGAAAAATATGAGTTTTCAGAATGAGCATTTTTGATTGTTTTGCCTGTTAAAGATTTGAATTCAGTCATTTTGGCTTATAGCCACATTTGTGCATTTTACATTCATTTCTGTTCACAGTGCTCAAATCTGGCCCTTGTTCTTATTACTCACTCTTGGTTCCAAAGCATACTGTCTCAGTCAATAGCTGCTTGACTAACAGCATCCAGTAAACCAGAAGAGTAGTTAATTCCTGGGTCCTCAAGGCCATTGAGTGTTACCTGGCAAACAATACCTCAGATATAAATCACTGCATCATGGGAAGCATTGGGATTTTTTGGGGGGTGTGAAGGGGAGGTGTGCAGCCAGTTTTACTGTCACAGCTATTTTGCAATTGTAAGAGAACAGGTGCTACTACTTCTGTGCAGAGGTTTTAATGCAAGGCTGCATTTGGAGCCCTAATGCATATACATACTGTTACAAAGAGTTGCTGGAATCCAGACTGGGAAACCTTTTCACTCTCAAAAAGGATCAAAATATAGAGCTGGGGGAAATTCCAGGTTGCCATGAATTGATAAATTGTAGATGGTGAGATGTTGGTCACTTACGGCAAACAGCTCCTGCTATATTTAAAAAAGGAGTGGCCAGCTCCTGCCTCATCTTTGCTTCCTCATGTTAATCCTGGGGCTCATGATGTCAGCTTTCATGTCCTGAAGTCTTGCTTCTTCAAGATTGAAAACATTCAGCCTCCCTCTCTGACCTGCACCTCCACTTTCTCCTTTTTGGGGTACTTCCAAACTGCTTTCTGCAGTCTTGGTTACTGATTTCAGAAGCAACAGCTCACACTCTAACTGTGCCTAGGGGAAATAGACTATTAAGCACCCACGTTGCAGTTAATTTTTGTGCTGAGAGTTAGCAGTCAGTGAAGTTCTCAGATCTTAACTGATCTGTTCATGTGTTGTCATTTTCCCAGTGTGATACACTGACTAATGTAGATTCACCTACTAAGACCAGCCTAAACCCCAGAGGGAACCACTGTAACAGGCATGATAAAATGAGCTGAACAGAAACAAACTGGTTTGTCATGTTAGTTTGAAAGTGCTGTGGATTCTCCTTACTCAGTCCAGAGACGAATTCACGGAAATTGATGAGCAGATCTCCATTTTCATCCAGAAGCCTGAACAAACGGGCAGCCAATATATCTGAGTGAGTTCCACATGCCCAGGGGAAGAGGAGGGTGAACATGCCTTTGAACTGGTCAAAGTCAATGCGGTACTGCTCCAGGTAAGGCAGGCTGGGATCGTGTCGCTCTGTGGCGTTGCTGTTTCCTCCCCAGTAGCAGCTTGTCAGGTGTTCTGCCTGAACAGAAGGTAAACACTATGAGATTGTCAGCATTTCTATAAATAATTCATCACTCTCCATGATAAAAAAAAATTCCAAACAACTCTTCCACACACATTCTTAAAACAATGCAAGATAACAGATGCATTTCCATTTATCCAGCCCTTCCACTTCTGGAAGAGGTTTCTTGTCTAACCAGCATAAAAAAGCATCCCTCTATTAAAGACAAAAAAAAAAAAAAAAGAAAAAAAAAAAAAAAGAAAAAAAAAAGATAACGCAAAACTTTTTCTGCCTCCCAGGTAAATGAAACAACTGTTTTGGCCAGAGCTGTGACTTCACAGGCTTGTTGTGCTTAGTCACCCTCTGCACCCTCATCATGCAGTCAACTCAGAAGACTCATGGAATCTTTGTTTAATCTTTAATCATATGAAAATAGCTGTTCATTTGAAATATTTTTTGTAGATTCTCAAAAATACTGAATAATGTACTATTCTTTCAGTCTTACTGGTCAGTGGAGGGTCTGGAGCTGATTTTGGCAGAATCTAATTCAAAACAATTTCAGAAGCTTAGGAAAAAAGATCCCAGCTCTGCACAGCAACCAACGAGGGAGGACAGTCTGACTTGGTCTCACTGATTTCATGGAAGACTGAAAGGAGGTACTGCAGGATTTGGACAACTTGTACTTGTCATTACAGATGGGAAATTAAAAGGAAATAAATTCTTCATCATATTAAAAAGAAAATCTCTTGTTATAAAAAGCAGATAAAGAAGGTAATTTCTTTTAACACATTGTGCATGAAGGTGAAGTTAACATATTTACACGCTCACCTTTGAATTTGTGGATCTAATGGCACTGCTGTACAACCAATACGAAGTTGGTTGTACATCACTTTGTGGCATTAAATTCCCATGTAAAGTATTAAAGCATTAACAATGGCAAAAATCAGCAATTGCGATACAAAAGTATTAACTGAGATAATAGAATAATTGTGATAAATTCCAAAACTTGGGTCAGGTAGAGAGAAACAAATGTTTATTTTCTGATGACTGATCAAAAGCCTCTATCCAATTTTTGATTTTATTTTTTTATTAGTATATATTTTTTTCCATGGACAAAGCAACTAGTGAATTAAACATTTCCTGATGTTTTAAAATCTGCTTGAGTTTAGGGTTTTTTGGTATATCAATAACACAGAAGCTAATTCAAGTTATATCAAGATACCCAATAATAACTCACAGACTTGGTCTGATGCTTAGGAAAGAAAGTCCCACACCAAAAATGAAAATTTACACTTCCTGGAGGCACATGATCTTATCTTCACTTAGCTTTACCTTGAAAAGCGCGTATAGTTCCTCCAGTTCATCAATAGTAAAAGAAGTCTCTGTCACAATAGTTCGTACCTTTAAAACACAACATTAACAGTTACAGATTTGAAATCCATGTCTCACTGAAAAGCTAAGTTAAACTTCAGAAACTGACTGAACTTATTATTTGCAAAGAACATTATTTCAGTACTGACCACATTGCGCTTTGTAGTATCTTCGAGGGTTTGGATGACTTTCAGTCTTTGTTTGAATCTCATTTGTTCAATTAAATCCGCCCGGATGCTTCCAAATTTCTTGAAAGAGAAAAAGTAGTACACGATTGTCTGTGTATTAATATTCAGAATGTTTAGCTTCCCTTTACTCTATTAATTACATGATGTAGCACAAATGAAACTGCTGTTAATGCATTTTTCTAACACATTACAAAATTACAAAGACTTTAGGAATACTTCACTAGATTTTCTTTTTCCCAAGAACTTATTTTAATTTGAAAGGTCTTTCTTTATTCAGTTTCAAATGATCTCTTTTCAAACTGTAATCTCAGTATTTAGAAATTCTTGCTTGGCAAATCTCTGTGAATAGATTGTTTTGTAAGTCCTCCTGCAGAGTTTTATTTCAGCTTGTCCTGGAATGTCTCATAATCACAACAGAAGAGAATATTAAAATAACTGGATCTCTAATGGCTGAGACAGTACATTCTGAAGATTTTAAACCAAGTAGCAAGAATGCAATTTCCACTAGGAAAATATTCTCTTTAATACCCAAGTCTTATTTTCAGAAGTCTTCTTCATAGTATACATAACAGTGTCAGGGAGCTCCTGCACATACTACAAAAGCATAATGGGGGATAACCTACTAGGAATAGTATTCCATGTTTTCATGTGCAGAGGAATGCCTAACCCCTAAGATTAATTTTTGTAGAAGCATTATAAGCAGAAGTTTCTTGCCATCCAAAACCCACACACTTAGGAATGCACAGATGATCAGCAGGATTAATAATGCCAGACATCAACTACACCACATATAAAGCATAAAGGGGTGGCAGGACACACTTTCATACAATATGGATTTATATTTTCAGTGCAAGTGCATCTACATAATACGCTGGCACATTCTTGTAAAATGAAATTAATGCTAAAACTGCATTTATTTATAAAGGTGTTCACCTTTATTGTGTACCTTGGGAGTAAAAAGATGTTTCATGTACTTGTGAGCATGTTGCAAATAAAGAAGTCTTTTGACAAAAATGGAATGTAGATATTCATGTATATGTATATGAATGTAGGTATTCATGTAGATATTCACGAATATCAAACATCACGGAGGTCACAAAAACTTGAAAAGACAGATCTTTTGTGGCACTGAGGCCACACCTATTCCAGTAATTAGAGTTTATTCACTGGTCTGGGGGCCAAATAAGAAGGTCTGTTCACATCCATAAAACTAAAACTCATGTAGTCTACACAAAAGGAAGGTTGCAGGTGATTACCTTCTGGGAATGGTCCTTTGCCCATGCTAAGTCTCAAATTGTACAAGGAGTTGTTGGAAGGATGTCATCTGTTCAAGGTCAAAACTATCAACCATTTCCACAGCACAAACCTTTCAGTGTCAGCTCATTAGTTAAAATAGCAAAGATCCAGATACCACTTTACACATAGCAGAAGTGTTGAAGGTGTATTTTTTTTTTCTAATTAGCTAACATGCAAATTAAATGAGTTAAACACAGTAACAGCTCTGATTATGAGTCTACACTCCACAGACAGCTAGTGAGTTATGCACAGGCTTTTAAAACTGCAGTTACTATGCATTGTTTCAGTCACTTCTACTATAATTATTATGACATCAGGATCTATGACTTCTGAATTAAAGCAAAATTGAATGAAAGAATAAGAGATTTCTTACTAAAAACTACTTTCAGTAAATTAAGAAAGTACTGGCAGTGTAAAATGCATACTCTTGTTATGTATATCCTCTTATTTAAAGACAGTTTCTCCTTTGAAAGTAGAAAGTGTGCTCGATATCATTGCAGAGAGGGGTGCTAGTCACTTATTTACCAAGAAATTCTTCTGCATCCCTTCAACTTTCCCTGGAGACTTCTCATATACGCATCTGATTTTATTACCTAAGAGCTGGACAGTGTCAGATCATGATGGAAAGCAGGTCTTCATAGAACAATTCAAATACTGTGCCTTTGCCAGTGCCACCAAGTTCTCAGACTCATCACATTTCTATGACAAATATCATAGGACAGTCTGGAAGGGACAAGGTTTTCCCCTCTCCTTGGGGGTGGTGTGTGTATGCTTGAGGGAAGCAAAGGTCTCCAAAAACCCCCACATTTTCTTCAGCTGTAGGTCTTCCTATTATTTTTAAATTATAAATATCTACAAATTAGGAATAGAGGGTTACCCAGAAAGTAACCATTGCAGTTTAAATTCTAAAAAATAACAAAACATATGCTCATTTAGTTGATATTTCAGTCTTTGTGACAAAGCTAGCACTGAGTTCCTAGCCCTGACTGCACATTAACCAGTCAAAAAACATAAAAGGTGTAACAGATGCCCTAAAGCTTTTGCATCTCAATAGTTTACTAAAGAATTTGGGGGGGAGGGTTTAATAAATTTATTAATAGCAACTCTCTTGAAACTCATTCTCTCTCTGCAACCTGCTTTCCTTATGGTTCCTCACTCCCCATGCTACTTGTTTTGTCTAATTAAACTGAAGTGCAGTTGGTTATTTACCTAGAAGGAGGTACAAGGTTCTGTGCTGCAGAAGCCCAAAAAAGATAGACTAGCTCTGCACGGAGTCATGTTACTCATCTTAGAGCAGTTAAGCCAATGCAAACAGTCCTCATGCTGAGAAAAATGGAAAAATGCAAGGGAAACACAACTTCCTTGCATAAATGCCTTCCTGGCCATTCTGGCATCTACCAAACATCCATCTACCCTGATACACTTTTCCCTTCAGCACAGAATACGCTAAGGGGCACCTACTTCCTTATTAAATGTGGTATGTTAAAGCAAGGGGGGTTTACGGGCATAGGAAGTGCCTTTGAAAAAGCTGTGCTATTGCTAAGTATAAATCGACCTTCTGAACTACAATTATTCACTTAGGCTACATGTCAATGGAAGGGAATAATGGAAATTTAGGAGAAAAAAATCTTTAGTTTTTCCTTAATTTTTATAAAATATGGGTATGTCAGCGTAACCATCAGAGATATTATAACTGATGGCTTTTTTTTTTTTTTTAATTTAAGGACAATTAAACCAGTCTGCAGATTTTATTTGGTTTTGCAGGCTTTGTCCTTTAATAGATATTAGTTATTACCAGCTCCATCCACTTGAATTTTTTTTTTAGCTTTGGTGATAGTAGAGAATATAGTGGCCCGTGGTCACAATCAGCACTTTCAAGAAAATGAAAGGCAAAAGAAAAAAAGTTTCACTTATAACAGAAAGGTCTTCTTAAATCATACAGATTTCACTACTATTTCAGTTTGAAAAACCATAAAAAAGCTTAACTGAGAATTAACTCTTTTCAAGTTAAAAGTTCAGTCTTTTGTTTGTAAATCACTTTTAGGTTGTGGGCTGCTCTTCTTTGAGGCCTCAGACTTCTCTATGAAACAGCTCCCATTAAAAGTCTTGGTTAAAAGAAGGTCTAACTCATCTTCGTTGCTCCATTTCAGCCTTCTCAGATGAGTCTGCATTTCTTTTATGTTCTTTCCATTTCAAGCAAAGCCAAACTACAGAGTATCAAATTCCTCTGTGAAGCAGAAGTTGTGTGCATTGGCAAGTTCCTGTTAAGAAATCTTCTCCTACCTCATAGGAAGACCTGATTAGCCTGAAGATATCCACCTCAGGATAAGGCTCTACATCATCACTGAGCAGGGAGTGAAGATGAGGAATTGGAGGAAGAGTGCTGTCCTTATTAGTTACACTGTCCAAATATCTGGTGGGGGAAAAAAATAAAGAAATGAGAAATGCAAGATGAATTTGTATGCCCTCCCTTCTGAGGGCTGACATCATAAGGGTTACATATTGATTATTACACGTAAAAGTGATCAAGCCATTCTCTAGGAAGAGTTAGGGTTATACTATTGAAATTCTTTATGAAATTATGAAAAAAATTCCAAAGTTCCAGCAACATCTTGAAAACTAAACACTGCAACCAAGCACAAGAAAATCAGAGGTTATACTCAGCAGCCTTAGTTCCAATTAAATTACTCAAGCCACTATATCTATCATCATACTGTTTCACTGAAATCTATTTGTTCAAGATCCTACCTAATTCTTCTGAGTCCTACTTAGTCTATTCCCAAAACAATTTTCCTTGACATTGAGGCTTCTTCTTAGTAACATTTAAAAGGTAGCAGGCTGAAGTAACAAATCTCATGTAATCCACTACAATAATGAATCTAGTTGAATTTTTATAACTAGGTTTGAGAAGTTTATTTGAATGTTTTGAAATAAGAATTTATATTACTTAGCATTATTTTAAAATAATATAAGGAATACCTTATGTGGAGAAAGGGGACTACAAGCACGTAAAAGATTTACATATATGGTACTGGTTTAGATAGAATACAAATCATAAAAGCAAAGGAAAAAAACAAACAAGAGAACACGAAGATACTTAATTTTCTGTAATAAATACCTTCCCAAGACTGTCATGGCTTCTCCATCATCTTTACAGTTAAGCAGCTTGTCTACATTAGCTTCAAGGACAGCGAGCGCTAACTGAAATATCACCTTTATTCCTTCACAGAAGAAACAATCCACAACTACCACTGCACTTTCAAATGGCATTACACTGAGGAAAAGAGTGAGGAACCAGGATAGGGAGATGGTGGAGATTACGCCCAAGTCCTGCATGCAGTCATAAAGCTGTGGAATGTAGTCACGAGCCAGCTCTTCAAAGACACCCTGATCCACCAATGCTCCTGTTGAAGATAAATAAGATTGAACTAATTCAGGAGCAACTGATACATTGCCATTTAGGGGAGGAAAACACAAATCTATATATTCTATGTATATAAATAAAAACCGTAAAAATATTTTGCATGGTGCTTATGCACATTTTTTCACTTTCAAATGAATAACAGGTTCCATTAAACAACGGAGCTATACACACAAATTGAACTGTAATAAGTTTTTTTATGTTTTAATTATGCACTCCATAATAAATAAAAAAGGATTCATTTGGTCTAGCACCAGCAGAAGTTAAATAGTGGCTTGGTATTACCATTACTAATTGGAGTAAGACGTCAGCATCACCTGGCCAGGCTGACTGTGAGGGTTTAGATTTACTTCAAGAGAATCCCATATTATACATTCCCATGCCATAACTTCAGTGTTCTAACCAGGCCAGGAAGAATAATTTCTAAGGCTGAGTATCTCAATTATTTGTGAGATATAGTAAAAACAGACTCCATGATAAATTGAAGTCACTCACTTCTACATACACAAGGAAGCTTATTTGACAACAGCTTTCTGATACTTGTGCCCCTTCACATCAAAGGTACAAGCACAAAGACTTCTACGGCAAACTGCTAAAGCTCCCATTTCCACCTTACCTTAATCAGCTAACTGGATCATCTAAAACTCAAATTTTAGCCTTCCATCTCTTCTTAAAAATCTACTTTGCTTAAGCCTACTTTAGAATGCCATCTGCTCCTAAGCAAATGATAAACTATTAACCATAGTACTACCTCTTTAGGAAATTGCCTTCATTCTCCTGAGCAAGCTGTCTTGTCACTAGCATGCACAGATGCATCTACCCATACATTTGTTTCAGTACAAATAACACCAGTTGATCTGGTTATTTTTTTGTAATGCCATTTCAAAAATACCCCCATAGCGTACCAACAACTCTTGTGTTGTAGTAGTCAGGCAGCATACGCTCACACAGAGCCACCAGCAGCCAGAATGCTTCCTCCTCTTTTGCATAAAGGAGGAGCACTGAAGTGACAATATTCATAGCCTAAAAGAAAGGGAAATATAATTATTCAATATCTAGCACTGTACCTGGGCAGATAAGTGGTTAGGAAATTAGCTACATATCTCCCTGCAGATCCCAAACTGTTCAAGTACTTCCCTGTAAAAACAGCAGTGTTTCCAAGTGCTCAAAGAAAGGCTTAAGAAAGCCTCAAATCACAAAAAATTGTAAGGTTTTTCTTTAATTTTGCTGTTGTTTCACCAGGGCTTTTTGGTGTTTTTTTGGGGGTTGGTTGGTTTTGTATTGCAGATGTTTTTGAAGATATCAAGATTTTTCTTCCTAATAAAGGGCTGACTCAGGTTGCACGCATCCCTGTTGCACTGCTACTGATATTCTGCCATAGGTGCTCTTGAGGAATCTGGGTATGGTGCAGCCAAAACATCTCTCACAGCACTAGTGATATGCCTGAACTCTCACTATAGCTGAACCAAATCTCAAGGTTATTAATTGCTGTGACAGCTTTAGGGACCAGAATTGAAATGTCCTTCTACTCCTCCTCTGTTAAATAATCTTTACAAATGTTGTAGCTATTACTTAGTATCACATGTGTTATTAAATAAGTTATGATGGTATCTGTTAGAATTTGCACTTATTCATGTTGCATCAAGCTTGCACTTATTCATGTTGCATCCAGAAGTCTTAACAGTGAGACATTAATCAGGCTTCTTAATACTAATGAATTTAAGTTTCCTCTTTGTAAAAGTACGTAGGAAGGCAAAAAAAGGCCCAGGTGATTAATTACATAGTAAGAAAGAATGATTTAGGACCGGTAACTAAAGTGACCTGAATTATGGGCCTAAGAGCCTCAAAACTATGCACTTGGGTCATTGGAGCATTAACTCCACAGATACACAGTTGGGACTCACTGTGATATCTCCTAGGATGCTTTATTTTTTGCCAAGTGTTTGGGGGTCTTTTGCTTGGCTTTCTGGTTGTTTTCTGGTTTTGTTTCTTTCCGTTGTTTTGAATGATAGCATGGCATCATTGAAAGAGGAAAGAAGGTTCTGGAGGGTTATAACTAATATAATGAATATTATTCAATATAATATAATTCAATGTAGGATGGATAGATAAAACTAGATTAAAAAATTAAGGTTGAATACAAAGTGTTTTGGTTTTGAGGGGATTTTTTGTTAATAAGAAAATAACCTTTCTTCAGGGTCCATTGTCATTTTCTGTAGACAGCTCTGTTATCATCTCTCCAGTTTCTAGATCTATGAGCAGAAAATATGCTTGCAGAAAACATCTCTTAACATGTGTTGCTAATACTGTTGTTAGAGAAGGTCTTTGTGTGATATCCCTCTGACCTCAGCACACCTGCCTCTCTGCAGCACTGACTGAGGCGTGAGCTCACAGCACCATCCACATCTCAGTGTGCTTCACACAGCCAAACCCTCACACATATGACTGAAGAAATGGGACTGGAAGGAAAGAACTGGAATTCCAGAAATAGAAGGAGTCCAGGGTATTTCAATTACCTGACAATATCCTATGTTTGGATTTCTGAAGGCATAAGCTGTCAAGACTCTCCTTAAAGCAGCAATACCCATCTCATTCTGGAATGCAGGGTGTTCTGGAAGGGAACGGTGCAGATCCCTCTCTATCTCTTCTGTAGCAAGATTGTATTTTCCCATTGATTTCTCCACTAGATCCTCATAATAGCCAGGATGAGTGGCCATTTCATTAATGGCTCCTAGGAGTAGAAGAAAAATATTAAAACCAGGAGAAAATGGAAGGTTTAGCACATAGAGTATTCCAACATGATTATCTACTCCCCTTCCATTCCAAACATCACCAAGAACTTCGAAAGCAAATATGAAAATATTATTTCTTTAAAGGTGGTTAAAAAAATAAAAAGGATGTGCTCTGGTGATTATCACCCCTTCCTGTCTTCTCTACAGGCATTTTTATAATGAGGTTAAAATCTCTCTCAGCCAGAACAAAACAGGAAGCATGAAGAACAAACCAACTGCGCAGTCATATGTTATCATGAGCTCCCTCTGCAGCTGGCTGTGGGTTTGGCCATCCTAAATAACTCAAAACTTGTCTCTGAGAAAGCTACTTGTCTTGAGGACAGAGTAGATTAATGTTTGGTTGCGAAGAGTATGATATGTCAGCCAAAAGCAAGAGACGGAAACTCATGAGTTCTATTCTTACTTCTGAAAATGACTCTGTCATCTTGAGCAGGGCACTCAGCCTTAGGGATACCACTACATGCTCACAGAGTTGCTGTGAGATTTCACTACTGACTTTACAACTTCTCCAGAAACGAAAATCAAGTGTCAGTAGCACAAAGTAATCTATTTAGAAAATATTAATTATACACACGCATTGAAAATTAGTACAAACTAGCTGTTAATAGGACAAAAAAACATAGCTGTGAATTCCTATGTGTATCTTCTGAAAACATTTCTTTAGTGCCCAGCAGCAAATAGAAAATGTACATGGCTATGTATTACTAGGGAAGAAATAGAAAACAAACTTGAAAGCATCATTAGGTCATCAGATAAAGGCCCTCATATCATAAGTGGTGTGGGTAGCCGTGGTAACTATCTTGGGGAAGGTAGAGCTAAAGAAGGCATATGGTGATAGGTTATAAAGAAAGCCTGAGGTAGGATTGATTTCCATAAAACTTGTGACAAAAATCTTCAAATTCAAAAAAGGAAACTTTTGAAGGACACAGATCTAGAGAATCCCTTATGACACAGAATCCCAGACAAATATTTTCTCACCATTTTTCACATAATGGAAGCAAAACCTAAAAGAAGGTTAGAGTAGGGCTTTTTTATTACCAACAAAAAAAATATAATGGTTCCATGTAACATGCCTAAACTTTGGAATTCCTTGCAACAATTACTGTGAAGGCCAAAACCTTAACTGGATGCAGAAATTATTAAATAATTTATATTAAATAATTAAATAAATATTATTAATAAAACCGCCAAGCTTGCTGGTGGTTGCTGAACAGCTAGAAACTAAACTACTGGCTTCTGGTTACAGAGTGTGTGTTCTGCTTTTTATATATTCTTCCTTAATTATGTGAGCCTGTTTGAGAAAGAGTATTTGCTGGTCTGAACAGAAATCCTGTATAAACTTGTTTGGTGCCTGCTAACAATCACAGTCTTACTTACTCCAAATATTTTCAGACACTCTTTATGTACATCTTTAAACATCTTTGAAATCCTTTCTTCCCTCATACTTTTGCTTATATCCCACAGACACGTTCAAACAAAAACCTACCTGAAAAGAGCAGCCAAAGTTCTCCTCTCATGCTTTCTGGAATGCCCTTTAGTACAAGGTCTCTTGTTTTCTCTGTACGATACATACAGACCCCTTGACCATATTCAGCAAAGTGAATCTTCCAGGCCTGTTCCTTCAGGAACTCCTTGGCCTAAAAGCAAAGAAAGGCCGGCATAAAGATTCTCTAACACTCTGACCCACTAAAATCTTGAGTGCTAAAAAGCCTGCAATATCCTAACCTTCCAAGTGAACAAGAAATAACTTGGCTACAGACCAGTTACCTTCTTAATGGGCTGCCTCCTCCCATTTCCTAGTTTCTATGCCAGTAGACCTTGCTGTTAAGAGAAAGTTATACTTAAGAGCAGGAATACTACCTCTCCTTGAATTACATCCAACTTTGCTTTTATGTAGTGAAATTATTTGTGTTGGTAAAACAACAACGTGTTCAAGCCTTTACTTCTGCGAAAAATACTGCCTCTTCTTAACTGTCTGACAGAATGAAACTCTTCTGGGTCAGAAACATGGGTTTAAGGCAAACATAATTTAACAGCCTTTTCAGTCAGGTGGAGCACTTGGAGGTGTATTTTACCAGCTTAGGGTTGAACTCCTCAGGTGATCTGCGTCGATACATTGTCATTAAAGCTTGAGTTGCTGTTGGAATGCCGTTATCATTGAGGTTGAATTGTCGCTCTCCCTCTGACTCTGAGCTCAGGCTTTTGTGAGGGCTGGCAGAAACTGAACTACTTGATCTTGAAAACACCTGCAGAAAGCAGTCACAAGCAGTACAGCCATAAAGATGTGCCAGTGTCTAAACCTTTTACTTCACTTTATTTAAAAATTTATACATGCTAATGGTTAACAAAAACATATGGCAACAGAAATGAAACCAGTAAAGAATAATGAAATAGTTTCCAGTTTCTCAATAGCTCTCCTGAAACACAACCAAATTCTAGAACTAGAATTGTTAGAGTAATGTTAACCCTAAGTAACCCAGGGCAATTTAACCAGCTCCCTTGATCTGTCAGCCTCATAGGACTGTTAGATTGGGATTTGGAAGTATTTTGAAAAAAAGGGATTTTCTGACTTCTCAAACAGCTTGGAAACTGCATCACAGTAAAATCTCAAGGAGCAGTTCACACCAAATGCCCAAAATTGCCAGTAGTAGTCATGCATATCTAGATATGTAGTCATATTACAAATTGTAGTAAATGCTTACAAATTAATTTATTTATAATTCAGCAGGTAGAATACTAGATACATTTATGGCAAAAATTCCAGCACTATGTGTTCTGGTATACAACAACACAGTAATTATACCTCACCATCAACAAAGCAAGTAAAAACAATTCTTTTAAGACACACATGGCAAACAGGAAAGGGCTACTCAGGACAGTGCTAAGGTATGGCTTAGGACAGGCTTGGAATGTGAGATCTACTGACATAATACCAAAATGATACATCACAAAAGCCTTTTCTACTTTTAGATCTGAATTACTATACTTTTCTGGGTTTAACAGAACTGATGAGGTTGTTATATGAAGCATCTGAATTTTATACATAAAAGCTGGAATTCAGCACAAGGCTTAACATTCAAAGCACCTAAGAAAAGTGTATCTAGTCATATATTTTAAGAATCATTTACTTTGAACACATATATAAGGAGGTGGTTCTGAATAGCCACCTGACGTTCAGGACAGGGCTGGCTTTTTTCCTGTTAGGTCAAATGTTCTAAGGTTCACTAGCAGTGCACATGTAAGCCTGCTCAGCTCAGACACTATTTTCAGAAGAGTCAAAAGATGGGATTTAGCAGTTAAAAACTTGAATTAATGGAATCTCATGCCAACTGATAATTTCTTCAAACTATTAAAATTCCAGAATTACATTTGAGTTGGACAAGTAAATAGATATTAAAAGTACTATTCAGTTCACCAGTTAAGTAACTACGACACTTTCCAACAAGATACATGGTAATTTCAGAATGTGGCAGCAAAAATTAGAGTAGCTCTTCCTCAGCAATGATGATTTCTCTTAGGTTTAATGTGAAAAAGATGGATATCCTAACTGACAAATTTTATCTCTTTAGGTCAAAGGCATTAAAACAAAAGAGGTCACGTTTCTGTGCATAAAGCTTTAGCTTCGCCAAAACTTTTAAGTGTTTCCTCACCCCACACAAGTTAAAATCCCCTTCTAGTAAAGTATTCATATTACTTCACATACCTCATCATCTGAGCTGATATAGCTTCCAGCAATATTTTTATCCAAGTATATTTTTGAAGTGGTTTGTTGCAGAAAGTCTGAGATCCTCTGTACAAGAAAATCTCTATCTTTCAAGTTGGCAAAGAGGAATGTCATTCTGTTTTTCGTGCTGATTGACAGTGGGCTGGGCAGCACACTGGAGCTGTCTGCCTTTTCCACTATTGTCACCTAGGAATAAACAGTTGCTACAGCTTAAGATCTTTAGCTAATCAAGCTGCTTTGTCTAAGAAACCATCTTAATACAATAAACCCATACTCCTTCCACCCCTATATCAAATCCCTATGGATACCCCTTTGCCAGAAAACATGGTTTGCATACAAGGGCTTACAAGCCTAGAAGATGAAGGCTGTAATCCCTCAAACAATTCAATTCAGTACATTTTCTATCAAAAGTCCCCTGTACTGCTTAGTCGATTTTCCTCAGGCCCTATTTTAAAAGAATCAGTGAAACAAAATTTCACCTGTGGGATACAAATCTATCAGATTATTTGTAGGACTTCCAAATCCCTCTCCTGCTTCCTAACATCATCAGCACAGGCTGAAACCATGGAACCCTTGGCCTACATTTTACTGTCAATACATGTGAATAAGCCATTTTTGACATGACACTCCGATACAACTGTGTTATAGTTGCATACTGTAAAAATACTTGCATAGTGTTATTTTAACTGTATTTTCACAGTACACAGGAATTTCCAACAAAGAGAAATTAACCCCATGTCTTCCCTTACAAAGGAAAATACCTAACCTTGTGAGGTGGAAGCTTCTGTTTGGCCTCCAGTTATCAGGGAAATGGTCACTAATCTAACTGAACTTCAACACGTAAATAATACTCATACCACAATCTACTGAGTACAGGGAATGAGTTCCCTGAGGTTTCAGTAAAGCACATTAATGCAAAGAAATCTCAGGGATAAGTCATACATACACTGCTGATGAATTATATAACCGTTGTGTGTCCTAAGCATTACCAACTATTAGCCTTAAAAACATCAATCCATCAAGTTTGTGCAGTTCATACATTGAACAAAACACAAATCACAATTGTAAATACTTTAAACCACTGCTTTTATAACTTTAGATGATTTCTTAGGTAATGAAAACTAACTTACTGCCTTCAGAATAGAAAGTGGCACATTTAATTTTGCTAGGACTTTTACTTTTGCTCCTTTAACCCTTTTAAAAACAGAAATCAATGGCAAGACATGAATACTGTAATATTAATAGCTCTCTAGCTAAAGAGATATGGTAATCATTTTTCATGCATCCTCTTTGAATACTTAAACACTGAAGTGCACCACCTGGGTGCTAAACCACTTCTCTGTTCTCCCTGCTTCCTCTTATTTTTCTGCTAACTACAAATCTACTAGTTATTTGTTAACTTAAACTAGTTAACTAGTTGTTTGTTAACTTCACAAATAGCATATAGAAGTTAACAAAAAGTGTTTCCTATATTTTCTGTTCCACTTAAAAACTGTTCAAGAGCAGTCAGCACAGAAGACAGACAAGTTCTAGAGGCACAGGACAGACATTATTAAAGCAAGCTTAATTATAGCTGTGCTATAATGAGAGCTGATATCTACTTATTTCCTATTTCCTATTCAATAGAGACACACAAATATCTGAGGTGCTTTGTCTTAGAGAGGGCATCTGCTAAAGGTGCAGTGAGCAGCGCAGTCAGCCACTGTAAAAATCTTTCCTCATCATAATTTCTAAATCAATGCTTTACTATTGTCTTATCTGTCAAAATACCTCCAGGATATTACAGAACACTGGAATTACCTTAGGATTTAACTCAAATCTTTAATTAAATAGAAAGCTCTCCTTTAATTAGTAATGGTACTGATCAGTTGTTCTGAGGACTATCCTCAGTTTACTGTTCTCGCTGCTGGTGCTGAGACTTAAAGCTGTTCACATAGAAGCACTTATTCCTTCAGCTACTTCTGTCTCTTAAAGCTTTAGAGTTGCTCTGAATTCAGTGCTTCTGTGACTGTGGCTATCAAAAGCAGTTGCTGAATCTGCATCCAGAAAAACAGGCTCTGTTAAATGAAGACTTTTCCTCTTCCTCCACTACTTTACCTGTGCAACCATAATTGAATGTCTCATCCCAAATAACCAGTCGTTGCAACAAGCTGTTGAGAAGCTGTACTTCAAAGTTTTTCAACAAGAACCCATTTTACTATTAATGATTTTTGGGGGAAACACAGTGCCTTGAAATATTCCATGGTTCTTCAGACAAGCCAAACTGTCCTTGGTTACATCAGCTTTGCTACTACTTCCAAAACTTTCTTAACACAGTTTTCCATTAACCCATTAATCAAGCCAACCATAAAAAAAACTCCAACATAATTATTTTTTATTGCATCAAACAAACTCTTCTTACTGATGATCTGCTTTAAGTAACCAGCTTTAAAAAGCGAAACACACCAATTTAAAAGATACTGACAAAATATTTTCCAAATACAAGAATAAATAATTGCAAATCTGTGTGAAGAAGCAATTCAAAACTTGAGGATTATAAATATTTTTACATCTGACAAAAGCAAATTTTATCTGACAGATTCTTTAACAGAATTTCCACTCATCAATCTAGGAAGTTTCACCCTCCACTCCTCCCTATGAGGCAAAAAAAATGTAAAATTGGGCTGTAAATCAGAATACAAGTTATGAGAGAGGAAGAACTCACAATGGTTATGAAAACTGATGGAAAAAACTCCATGTGAACTTTAGTAGCAGGAACTGTAAACTAAGATACACAGTCATTAAATATTATTTAGAACACATCAGAATGGCATGCTCACATGAGATAAAAAGTATGAAAATAGGCTTTTCTCCAAAAGCAATCAGTAAAAACAAATACAAAAATAAATAATACTAAATAAACCCCACCAAAATAAAAAAATTCAAAGCTAGGCTGAAATATCTAATAAGATACTGCTTTATTAGTTTCTCTATAAATTTTAAAATACAAATGTTTACCTCTCGAAGAGGGATAATAAGGCTGCACAAGTTCTCTTCTTTACTAGTAAAGCAAATGTAGTTTGTGGAAACAAACATCTGACCCAAAATATGCATTTTGTTGAATGGAGTCCAAAGAGTACAGTCTGTGTGTCCATCTAATTTCTCATCCTTGGGAAGTCGGAACAATGCACGGTATCTCTCACTCTTTGCTCTGGCATCAAGATCCCTTGAAAAACCACAGTAAGATTTTCTTCATTTAGGGAATATATAACACATTTTAAGATGTATTTTACGCAAATCATTGCAAGTTACCTGCAACATATAACTCAGCTAAGCAAGGAGAGTACAGTTGGAAATAATTTGCATATAGTGGAGATATAGTCTTCACTTTTGGAAGGTTCTAAAATTACATAAAAAAAAACAAACCCTGCCATGAATGACTCAGACATTCATCCTTACTTCTGAGTGAGCTTTTCACATTCAGCCCTTCTTTCTGGGAATATGTACGGTGAATCCATTTTTTGCTAGTAGTAATAAAAAAGGCATCTTTGAGTCTTTTTTATTAACATTATGGAATCCTTAAGGTTAGAGTTTTTTAGCATTCTCAAGATTTAGTCTAGATAATGCATTCAGCATGAAACACTCAACAGTAAGGACAAAAAAAAGTGATATAATGCATGTCAGATGTCACTAAGTAATGAGAAATAAAAACAAGCACTGGCTATAATTCTGTATGGTACACTAACATGAACATATAATAAAAAATGAAAAAGAAAATAATGAACTGAAGTACAATACAAAAGAAGAAGAAATATTTTCCAGATACATTTTCATGCCTTAGAATTTTATGTCAATTTTTGTATCGCTGATACTTAAATGACATTCTAGATAGACTAATAATCTAGAAAAATTTCTCAATTCCAGTGATAAGACTGAGTATGAATGCTAGGCACAATTCTTAATAACACATTAATCACTTTATTACCCTCCCCTACAGACATAAATTGGCTTTACAACAGATACCAAAATGCAGCCAGTGTCAGGAGATACACTAAAGAACTTCTGAACAAATGAGCATTTGGCTCAAGTAAGTTTATTTTTGCAACTTGTTCATATTCAAGCGTTTTCCATTTCCTATTTCAACAAGATACAAAGTAATTATATTTAAATAATTATTCACGTTTTGCCACTGCTGGAATCAATCATTCCTTTTGGAGTAATAGTAAATGGCTGCAACATTAGAAAACCTTTGGACAAAATCCTGCAAGTAAAAGGACTGAGGAGTAACAAATGAGTAAGAGCTAGTGCTACCTACCGTTTTAGAGCAGATACTTTTTTGGGGGATTTCTTTTTCAGTTTGGGTAATGACCTGTCTTGTTCAAATCCTTCATTGTCCAAAAGCTGTCGCATAGCTATATTGGCAAGCTGTTCCATTAGTTTAAATGTCTCACTGATATTAAGGAATACTGAGAAGAAATGTTCACTTGATCTTGTGCTCACTTTGATCATATCAGGGAAGAGCAGTGTAGCATTCTTCTCAAGCTGAGTGATATCAACCCAACGGATAACTAACTTTGCTGAACAGGAGCAAGCAAAAAAACAAGATTCAGACCAAAAATTAGCATAGTCGGGAGCTTTTAGCTTCCTTTTCCTATAAAATGCATTCAGCTGACTTTTTCTTGCATCTTGAGAAGTTGGGAGCATAGCATAAATAGACCAAATTTGTACAAACAAACCACTATCATCTGACAAACAGCAGATAAAAGAGTTTAAATATCATTTACTTTATTTACAGAACACCACAGAAGCATTACAAAGCTAGGTGAGCTAACATGCCTTATCATTGTCACTGCACTTGCTCAGACTCTGATGACCTCTTTTCCTATGGAAGCAAAGAAACACAGTCTAAACACATCAGACAGGCCTGTGTTATTTTTATACAGTAAAAAGTTTCAAATATTACAGTCATGACAGAACCTTAGCTTTTCTCCCAACACTAATACAGGTGGTGTCCTTAAAGCAAGGGCTAAATCCTAGGACTGATCCACTGCCCATAACCAAATACTGCTGAATTGTTTACCTCCAAAACCGTGCTTTGAATTAATTCCCTGTAGAACAGACTGGCTGCAAGCACATTATGCAGTTCTTTATTTTGGGTCTCCTCTGAAACCTTTCTCATGTTCTGGGGTTGTACAAATGTACATCATTTAAGGTTGCAAAGTCTGCCAGAGTACTATTTGAGGATTGTGTAAGAGCAGAAGAGAAAGCCAGAACTGGTGGATCCTGTCCCTATTCCCTCTTGGACATAGCTTCTGAGGTGAACCATGTCCCTAGACAATGCCAAGCACTGTTTTATAAAGAACGCTTTGAGAAAGACCAAATGAGGGAACAAGCACACATTTAAGCAGTGTGAAAAATCAGGGAATTGCTCCCTGCTTCTCTTTTCCTCAGGGTCTTTGTACCCTCAGTGATTAGTATGTGTAAAGTAACAAGCTAGGGAGATGTCCTAACCATTATTAGATGCACAAATTACCATTCCACTAAAACATACCTTCCCTGCCCATGAAAAAAGAGTAAAAGCAAAGGTGATTAATGCTGAGATACACCCAGCCCTGACGGGGAACCTTCCCCTTCCAGTAACTGCAGGAGTAGTAGTTCACTAATTTCTCTTCTTCTGGCATCCCAAACAGCTTGTGAAATTTCACTATGGCTTCCTTGAATTTTTCTGTGTCATCATCCTCTTTGATGCCATTGATTTTGTTGTACTCAGCAATGATGCCCTGGTAGGGAATGAAAAAAGGACACATCCTGTTAGAGGCAATGGGCTATCAGATATCCTAATTCCCATTGCTGTCCAGGATACAGGCCTCAATTGTTATTGCAATGCCAAGGAAGTCTTCCAGTGAGCTTATTGTTCTGCTCACTCTTTGGCTTATTTAGTTGTTTATCATTCAAGGCTTTCTTTCTGATGACCTTACTCCCTACCATGCCTATGGCAAAGGCAACCAAACACCATCCACTTGCCAGTACCTTGTTTTAAATTAACCAGCCTAACTCAAATACTCTTAACAGTTCCGTTTAGTGCTTGTGATCTGTAGTATTTTCTTCTTCCTTCCTGAGGAGACAGACATAGGATTTCACATGAAATTTGTCTTAAGGAAAGGAAAAAAATAGGGAGAAAAGGAACTGTTGTTCTTTAGGAAATATTTAAAATTATTTCTATGACCCCTCTTATTGGACCTTGAGCATAGAAGAAGAGCAAAAGTTGGTGGGAAAGAAGAAAAAAAAGAAACCTTCAAATAGGTTAAGTAACAGGATGGAAAAATTCCCACTTTCAGGTGCAGATGACCTTAATGAAATTTGAACTGGCAAAAGGTGAAAAGATGTTTTTTTGATATTTTGAAAGACTATGGTTCCTTCTGTTCTATACTGAAGCCCTGTTTTATTCTCTTATTTTCCCAATCTCCTTGACAATCATCTCTATTGTCTTTTACAGACAATATATATAAACTAAAGAATATATATAGATAAATAAATTTATAACTTTATATTAAAGTTATAATTTTTTTGCCTTTTTTGTGACTTTTTGCCTTCAACTTGCTCCATATTTACATGAAGAGCAGAGTATAAGACAGAGAACCATCAATCACATTTAGTATTCATCCAGCTCTAAGAAGTAACAATTTCCATAAAGATTATATTTCAAAACACAGATGCCTTCACATATAAGGTATTTCCATGACCATCTATAGTCCTCATACCTGATTCACTGGGAAAACATAAGCAACTGTGGGATTCATAAGAGAGCTGACTTACTATATGAAATGTTAAAAGAGGAATGAGACAAAGCCAATGCTTTGAACACACACCAGTAAAGAGAGTAATTTTGATTACAATCTTTGAACAAGGTATTTCTTTTAAAATAATTCTTAGTACGAAAAAGGTACTTTTGCCAGTCTAGCTATTACCTGCCCTACAAAGAGAAAAAGAAGTTCTGAAAAAACCAACATTCCCACTGTGCACCAAACAAAAAAAATCAATGAACCAGCAACCCTTAACACCTGTACGAAGTATAAATGCCAATATTACAGGATTTAACTAAGCAGAAGATGGGGAGGAGACATTATGAGTGGATTAAAAAAAAAATAAAATTAAGCCTTGCAATGGAAAAACAGTTGCATGGACAACTGTCAAAGCTTAAGACAGTCAACAGTGCAATTAATTTTAGAACTTACAATACCTTATATTTATATGGGTTTTTAAAAAAATCACACTGCTGTAAGCTATGTGCACTAATCACAAATTTCTGTGATTTTTATACACATGTTGCTACTTAACATCTGGTAGTCCTTCAAAAAGGCAGAGCAGCCTGGGGACTACCAGCACAAATTTACTTTAAATTCACATCAGTTTTCTTTCCATAGTCATTTGTATCATTAACAACATTTACAGTAATCAATACACTACCTGTATTTTTCCTCTGACAAATGTATTTATGTCATTCTCATTTTCAAAGATTGAAAGAGTTTGCAACAAATTCTGCTCGAGCCATTCCCAGTGCTCAGTGATTTCCTTCCTTGAGCAACCTGTATAAAAAAACCAAACAAACCAAAAGTCACAAAATAAATAACACACCAGTGTCAGTGTCCCTTTAATCATAAACAAAAAACTCCAAGACAACTTGCCAGTAAGTGGAGATGCAGTATTTCACTAGATGCTGTCCTTCTGGAAATTCCAAAATTTCTCCCACTGCATTTAATTTAACAACTCCAATGAAGGCAACAGAATGCAACATTCTGTGCAACTTCCAGGGGAATGTCACAATTCTGATTGTAGTACAGATGCATAAATCATGTTGCACAACAACCCACATATGTAATCAATACTTCAGAACCACAAATGACTGTCATTGCTACTTCTCCTTAAAACTACTGGATGCAACTAGACTTTTCTGGAACTCAGAAGGTGATCTGAACATTATTTTATTTCATGTTGGCTTTAACACTGCTGTAAAAATCAATGATGAAATGCATAAGCTATGTATATAAAACTAAACTGTCATTAGAAAAATTACTTAGCTTGTAAGAGCAGTGACAAGCAGTACAGACACACTATCATGATGAACTACTTCTTAAAGCTGTCTCTTTCTGATTTGTGGTTCATCAGTTATTTTTCATCACTTCTGAAACTGCTTTGGCTGATTATTCTCAACCTCTAACAATACATCTCTTTCTTTCCCCACTGCTTTTTGTCTCCATTATCTCACCATTTACTCTCCCAGTTTCCCCTACAGTAGATCACACAATCAGCACAAAACCTACACCCCAGTTCTCAACAATTCATCATCACAAGCTAAGTCTTTCTCTTTGCTTTGTTCACTCAGGATTAAAATCCACATTTGCTGCAATGTTTTAAACTACAGATTATTTTATCTCTGTTACTGTAAAGTTTTTTGCCTATCTTTGCATATTAAAAGTATTCACCATTTTGCAATCACTGGCCTTTTAGGTAAATTAAGCAATAACTCTGACTCTCAGGGAAGAGGAAGAAACTCAATTTAACAGTTAAAACACTGCACTTCAAAATACAGAGCCCTCAAGACTGGCAGGAAATAAAAATGAAAATAGGTACAACATAGCAACTTGCATGAAGTGCATATAATTACCATTACCACAAAACCCCTACAGTAGTCCAATACCTGAAAAAACACACAAAGCCTCTGTAAGAATGACTGATCTTATAGGTGGAGAAGGATCTAAGAAAGTTGTTCATTTCCAAACAAAATTTAGATATAGTACCATTTTCACCTTAAGCTGAGCACTAAGCAGACTGTGTGGGGACACTGGCATGGGACACATCAGGGCTACTACAATACCAAAGGCTGATTGTGTACAACATTTTGCATTCCTAGACCATCACTTGTTCTTGAAAAGTAACTAAATAACCATTCTCCTATATAATTCAATAAACCCAACATTGCACTGGTGAAAGGGCTGTTAACAAGAGCCCTTCTCTCCAGAGCTATAAGGCTTCAGATTCACCAGCCAGAATCCTCTATGGCCTAGATCAGTAGAGTTAATATCCAAAAAAACTCATGTCTAAATCTGTCTAAACAGTCATTTTAGAGCAGACAACCCCCTCCCCCCCAAATTACTTTCACTCTCAGAATACTCTTGTACTGAGCAAGACCAAATGTCATAAACAAATCATGAAACAATCGCAGTTCTTTGAGTCACTCTGTATAGCTACTCAGTAAAGACGGAGATTATTTCTTTACTGAAGGAAGAGAAAAAGACATATTTCTGTAAAAATAAAAGATTACAAGTATCAAATATCCAGCAGTCTACCCTTAAAAAATGGGGAGGGACAATGCAGGACAAGTCAGAGTTGCATAGCTAAATGGAGCCAAAGCCCTTAGTAATCTGCATAATTTTAACAACCCTTGATCAGTTCAGAAGGAATTGGTTTAGTTGCAAATTCATAAAATAACCATAGTGCAGAGCCTTAGGGAACACTGGGCTGCTCAATTTCGAGGTTGCATAGATAAATTATTTGCTCTCTGTAAAATTTTACCTCCCTGTAAGATCCACAGTATTGCCCTCAAGTGACTATGCTATTGCAGTCTCTTAATTTAACCAAAACAACTAAGCCATCAACCAGATATTAGGAGACTAAAAATTCAAGAAAAATTTTACAAAATGGAATCCCAGATATATACATTAACTACATTAGCAATTTCAAGTAGAGCTAAGATTCATAATTGAAGAGCATGCTTATTAATACTAGCTTAAATGTAGACAGAGTACTGTACTTCTCCATGAAATCCACAATATCTTTCTCAGAAGAAAAACAAAATTCTCACAGTTCAGCAGTACCATAAATTTCTACGTGTATGGTACATTTATTTATTCTGTGGCCATAACTCATAACTCTGCCTTCCATTTTATGCCCCTGCTTATCTTGAGGACACACTGTAGGTATAAAATTACAGTCATTATCTATAGGTATCATGCAAGAAAAAATCTAAAGAGAAATCATATGGCCTATTTCCAAAGTCTTACAAATGATTTCTGAATACACAGAACAAGGGTCTTTGAAGGAACACTATTTTGTTGGGAGCTTTGTGGTATGCTATTTTCTTTGAAAGGGAGTCTTCAAATAGCAAGAAAACTTGTGTCCTCAGCTGCCCCCCTTTAAGTTTTTGGAAGGAGGTAGTTACTAATTGCTGTGCACTGACATCTGGATGAAAATAAATATACAGGCAAGTACTTTTGCCATTCTTTCTCTTCTGATATCCATGGAAAGCTGACACGCATTACTTATGGTCATAGCAGAGTACATGACAGTAAAAAGAATTCTGTTAAACGCAGATTTGGGAACAAACTTCATAATATTGACAACTCTGTTAATATATGGTTTTAGTATTAGCTCTCACTAAAACTAAATGATATGAATTTTAAAATCTTCAGGGCATTGGTACTAACAGGTATAGAAGGGGAAAAGGTTGTTTGAACTGATGCCTTCTTTAAAGTTTGCTGCAATCAAAACCAGTAAGAAATAATTGTGCTAATAAGAGCTATTAGCAAAACTTCCTGTTGGATTCAGAAGGTGACACAGCTTTGATATCACCTTTGCCAGACACAGAAATCATACACTCCTAAGAACAGAGCCTGGTTTGAACTAAAGTTATTGTATCGATAGCAAACCTTCATCTGTTCTTCCTTCTCTTCTCCTCCCAAGAGGGTATTTGTCTGGAGGAAAAGTTATCCAAATAATCTAAATGTCAAATTTAGATTGGGAGAATGGGTATTAGTGAAGTGTTAGTTGACACAGTTAGTCAAGAAGAAGACTATAGCATCATTAACCAGTATTTTTGAATGTCAGGCATCAGTGGGGGTACTGGAGGATACCAGGACATTAAAGAGATGATAGGCATGTATGCACGTCTCCACTTGTTCTCTCCTCTCAATTCTTTTTCAAATTAATAGTTTTGGCTGTTGGCAAAAACTTTGTTGCCAGTGAAACTTTTGAGCTGGAGGAGATGCACTGAGAAGTTTCCATTTGTTAAGACTGAAAAGCAATACTATCAAACTAATGATCTGACCTGACAAGCTTGACCAGCCAAAGCTAAACGACCTGGATTTTCTGCATTTTACTCCAGACACTATTTTCAGAGACAGCAGACAAAACCAGAGACTAACTCCATTCTGTTTCATGTTACTTGCAATAGGTACCTGTCCTGGAGTGACTTTATAATACTAGTATCCCAAATCGTCTGGTTTATGTTATATATTAAGTCCTGCACCTTTAAGACTGGCTTTGAGAGCAAGAGAAGAGGAAGAAGAAGCCGCAGTTTGTGTTAAGGAAAACATCACTCCCACACATCCCGCTCCTAGACTGTGGTGTCTGCAGCACGGACAGACAGCGGGACAGAGCTTCTCTCTGGCTTTTAGTTAGTTTTAGCTAGCTGAGGTAGAGGAGTTCCTTTGGTTTTTTTTGGATCTAGCCTGCTCTGGACTGAACACCCAGCCAAACCCCGGGAGCTCACGCCTGTGGCCCACCGGGGCCTGGGCCTCGGCACTTTTCCAGCACCGGAGGGACTGATAAGAACCTGAGCGAGCCGAGCTGCACCACATGAAAAAGGAGTTTTCTTCCTAGACTTGCCATCCCATCGAACAGCAAGAGGTTTTATTATTTAATATTATTCAATTTCTGTTAAATAAGCAGCTTTTTCCACTTCTCTCCAAGGAATTTTTTGTTGTTGTTGTTGTTTTTTTCCTCTTTCCTGGACCAGGGGTGGGGAGAGGGCATTTCCCTGAGGAAATCCCCATTTAGAGTTTTCCTCCCTAATTTGCCCTAAACTAAGACAGTACCTGACCACAGAAATAAGCATATAGTAAAAGATCTGATACATGCAAAAATCCTATTTAATGTACAAAAATATCAACTCAACTGTTTTCACTACTATAATGACAAAAGGAGCAGTCTTACTGCTAGATCTGTCCAAGTTGGAGCGTTAAAGACCAAAATTCTTAAAGGTTGTTGAATCTATGTAGGAACAAACACTTCTGTAGTTAACTAACCTAGCTACCATCTTGCTGAATTCTAACTACATCATATTTAGAAAGAACACACACTGTCTAAAATAAACATCCAGGAGGCAGGGCATCCCTGGGATGTAGATGGTATTTATCCTGGAGGAGACAGGAAATGTCTCACTGTTTGCTATTCAGTATTCACGTGAGTCCTAGGGCTGCACTTTCTTCCTGGTTACCATTCCAAGGGAAGCCAGGTGCCCTGTATGAGTAACTGGGGTGCTATAATCCAGGTACTCCTCCCACCATCCTATTTAAAGACACCCCATCACCCAGAAATGCTGCTTAGAAGAGTTGTAGGAGTGAGTCCTGGGCACTGAGGAGAGCATGCAAGAAGGAGGGATGGGTACTGTTGGTCTGGGAACACAGCTGCAAGTAGAAAAGTGGGAAATACAGATGTTTCGTGCCTGCTCCATGACCATTCCTGGCTTAATTCAGTCACTGTGCATAACGTACCCCTCCATGCTGGCATTCAAAGTCTGACTATCAGAAACTCTGGTGCCACTGAATTTTACCACTACAGCAGGTTTTCATCCATTTGTTTGTCCTGAGATAACTGTGCTCAGCAGGAAGGATGCTCTCTTATTATGCTATGTGACACAGTATCCAGGAAGAATAAAAATCCACATGTCAGTGCATTTGTGCTTACCACAGGCAATGGTCCAGTAGACCAAGGAGTCTGGTGTTTGGTAGAGGATTCGATATGGTGCCACTCTGGCACTGGAGTCCAACACAACATCAAGAGTACCGACAAGGAGACCTATGGAAGAGGAAATTCTGATGAATACACCGTGATGGATTGTCACCCTGAGAATCAGGCCTTTCGATATTGTTTTCATAATTTCTAGCCATTTTCCCAGGAAAGTAACTATCAACATAGGTGTTTATACATCCCGTTAAAGATATGCCTTTTGATGGACATCTCTCATGGCCAGTGCAGTTGGGAAGGTGTTAACCTGACTATCCAACCCCTGGTCGTGGTCGAAAACCTGTAAATACTGAAAGAACAAATAAACGTTTCTTCTTCTTCTTTCACCACACCTCGAGCTGCGTCCATGTGACTCATCTCGTGTCCAACAGTGACACTGGTAAATTCAAGACCCCACAGGAGAGGGCTTTGCAGTCCCTCCCCATACCATTTCACCTTCCACAGCAAAATGCAGAACTACATATTCATATCTACATACATATTGTTGTCTCTTGCTGTGAAGAGGAAGAGTAATTTAAAAGGGAAACATCTTCAGCTTAAACAAGACTTCAACTCTTTAACATACATCAATGCTAGCATAAATACAGGCAAACTGAAGCAAAGCAGGATGTAGTTGTGTTATAAAATCATGTTTAAAAGTTGATTAGTTCTTTCCTGTGTTTCATATATTGCTGGAGCCCTCAGCAGTAAAAAACCTACCAACTACAAACCCTCCTCCAACACCAACAAGAAATCCCAGACAATACACCTTTATAAAGGTTCAAAACTTGAATGTCAGCTAGGTAAAACTAAAGTCTTCCAACAAAAATAATTGTGCTACTTTACAGTCTGATTATTTAGGGTAGGAAGGACAAAAATGCCTTAAGAGTCAAGCTGTTTTTCAGATGAAAGGATACTGAGGAAAGACAAAGCCATACTGTTTTCCAGAAGTAGCTTTGAAAATTCTTTGCTATGGAAAGAGCCACCAACAGTCACATAGGAAAAGCTACCATTAACTCCTAACTATATTTCCACAAACTCTAGATCGTATTTTTATAATAAACTACATGTAAAATAAAACTCTAAGCCCCCAAACTCTCTGCAAGAAGAGAAAATTTATTTTAAAAAATAAACTAAAAATTAGTTTTAACTAATATATTAGTTAAAATTTATTTTTAAACTGTGTGAAAGTTTTCCCCCTTTTCAGCTCCACAAGGAATGTTCGTCTCCCCTGCAGCAATGTCATATTTAAATTTTCACGTTGAAGTTCTCAGCAAATTGTTTCAACTGTTTGAAAAAAAAATTTGAAATATATAAACAACAAATGGATGAACTTTCACAGATTGTTTTTTGGTGAAAATATTTATTGGGGTAGAAATTAGGGTTTTTTTCTAAACAGTTGAAATAAACTGCATGCACCAAAACCACTTTAAAACTCTCCTGTTAAAGTTCTCTTCTCCTTTCAAGTCTCACATGTGTATTTTTTACTGTCATAGTTTTATTAGTTCCTCATTTTGCTGTTGTAACTGGTATACACAATACTAGTTCCCTTGCTGTTCTTCTTTCTGATTTGTGCTGTGCATCATAAAGATATAAAAGCAAGTACCCCTTTTCCATTTTGGTAGATCCCTCAAATCTGAACTTAAACTGACACTAAGAAATATCCCACCTATCAGTGATTTTGTATTTCCCCCGTTCTCTTTTATTTTGTTTTAAACAGATCTTCTCAGGTCAGATCAACTGTAATCTTTCTGCACAATGAACTAACATGCAGCACCTTCTTAACCCAAGAATTCTGCAACACATGAGAAACAAGCCTGGGCACAGCATCAGGAGTAAGGTGTGCTATAAAGCTGACAATTACAAAATACAAACACAAAATATGAATGTAAAATATCCCAATGTAGACTAGTCTCACTGGCTTTAGTTGCTCCTCGTCTCTCACACATTTTGATTACTGGCTGTACACTTACAAGCTGCCTCTGAACATTCTCCACTAGCCATCCTAGATACAACCTGGCTCCATTCAAACTCAGGAGAATGAAGTAGGTTAAATGTACCTTTAATTATTTCTATTTTTCTTTCCATCTGAGCTTCATAAATGCAGTATAGCCCTGGCCCAGAAAGCACATCACTTCAACCAAGGGTAAAAACCTCAAACATGTAAAGCTGCCAGTACTGCTCAGCTGGAGTGGGGACCAAGCCAGACAATACACTTCGTTCGTCATCTGGGTTTGCTGCGAATACAGCAATCTTTTCTTTGTGCTTCTCAGCTTCACGTGTCTACTGACAGTAATAAATATGCAATAGGCATGATGTAATATCTAAATAAAGTTGTATGCTGGCCAAATGCAATCTTCTCTGAGATACAGAAACACTGTTCATTTCCTGTATTCTTTAAAAATTTGCTTGTTTCTTTCCTCCTGCTGTCTTTCCAAATTCACTGCATGTAGGTGGTCTTGCCAAACAATTCTGCCCCTAGTTCTTGGAGCGCTGTAAAAACCAGGATATGCAGGTAAGATCAAGAAGTCAGAACAAACCTACTGACTTGTACAGCAACATCAGCTTCAAAGGAACTTCCCATCCTACCCTCTCTCCTGGATATGGTAGACAGGAGAGGAACATCCCCCTCCCCCTGTGTCACCAAACACTGTAAGACAGAGCAATGTATTTAAGAAATGTGGAGAGCACTATGAAAAGAAAACCATCAACAAAGTAAGAAGCCAGCAGTGACTGAAACAACAGATGGGAGGTAGGAAAGGAAAGGAAAGAAAGAATACTTTCCAATGGTGGAGTATCTAGGAGTTGGTCAGGGGCTTTTCAGTAAACAGGTTGAAAAAATAACCATGTAGTGAGGAGGTTAAAGGAAGAAAATTGACAGAATTCCAGATTGCATGGAAATTCAAATCCAAGCTTACCAAGACAATTGCAACTGACAGTTTATCACTAACATTTTACTTGTATCATGCAATAGCTGTTTTGACAGATGATACATGTGATATTAAAAAAAAAGTATGTTTTTGTAACATGAAAACTCATGCAATCATGAAGCTGCACCTGCTTGCTCTCCTTCACGAACTGCTCCTTTTTGTGTTGTTAGGTCAGTGTTGGTTGTTTTGGGTTTGGTATTTGTTGTTTGGTTGGGTGTTTTTGCAATGCAGACATGTGATGCAACCAGACTGAAATCACAGCTGTTCATACCGATAATCTGAGGATTTTCTACATAAAGTAAAAATCAAACTTTTTTTTAAAAAAAAAGAGAATTTTAGTACTGTTTTAATACTGTTCGTTAGTTCATTAATTCTTCATGTAGCAAGTACCTTTTCAGACATGATTAAGTAACTGAGTTTCTATAGAAACAGAACAGGCAACAAAGAATCATATTCCTTATTTTAGATTGGCCCTTGGGCAAGAGCCAGTGAATTACCCTGGCATCAAATCACATGACTATACCAATTGCAAATTTTTCTCCCATTCTTTCATTAGGTTTCTGACTGCATAATGAAATAAAGGGAGAAATTTCCAGTGTAAGAATACTAAATCTGAAAGCTCTTGCTGAAGCAAGAGGTTTTCATGAGAAAAAGTTTAAAGCACACGGTATAATTTGTAGGATTAGCATCTGGCTAATTGATGGGAGCCCCAGTCCTGAAGGCACTCAAGCATGGGTAACCATTTATGTATAAACAGTCCTACCACATACATGTGCCAAATTTCTAAAGTAACCATACCTATACATGGGCCAGGAGGAAAAAAAGGGAGGGATAATGCCTTCACTTTGCTTGATTCAACTTTTTAATAAAGTCAGGTTCCTCTTTTGCAAACTTGAATTCTAAAGCAAAGGTCCAGAAGATTGACCAGTATTCTCTTTCCTTTCTGGCACAGGCAAAAAACATAGGCATTAGTAGAGGAAAAAAAATTATGTACAATATCTGGAACCAGGGAATACAAAGCCACAATTAGCTGAGGCCTGGGCCCTCATGCTTTTGCATGATGCTCTTGCATTGTGCTGCTGGAAGGACATACAATGCACTAGAGAAAATTACTGGAAAAGAGGTTCAGTTACTCAATGCACTTTGTGCTGAAGGAAGAAATCACACTACATTTTATTTCTCTGACCACATTCAGTGGTGGCTCACATTTAATCATAAGCTGGAGGGGGGACCTATAACTGTTGCAGAAAGTACAGACTAGTAGTCTTTATTCATTAATTTATGATGTGCTCTACTTGTATCCTTACAACAGCAATTTTCAACCTGTTTTGTTTGCTGGAAGAGATTATGACCACATGAAGACTGACCTCCTCCATAACACAGACCCCCCTCACAAATTATTCCTATCACACCAAAGGGTGTTTTTCAGAAAGGTAGGTCATCTTGGTTTGAAAACTAAGCCAATAGCTTCAGCCAGTTGAGATTCTTCCAAGCACCACTGCAGTCCTTGATATTTGGAGACCAGTATTCCAGATGGCTTACAGTCTAGACTGATTACAAACTACCCACAAACAGTAATCAAATCAAGCAATGACCTGTAGAAATCAACCTGGTACATTTTAAGCATGCATACCTCAGAGTACATAGACTTGTTGTAAGTCACAACATCTGTGACTATTTGGATATCCATGGCACAGATCTTTGCTGCAGGAATATTTCTCTCTCTTTTCTTTTACCTTTCATAATAATTTGCAAGTGTCTTTGTAAAATATCAGTTACTGGTGTTTTTAAAGGAAAAGCACATGGTACACATGAACAAACTCTTTATTAGCAGAAGATTTTCTTATGACAAACCTCTTCCACAGAAAGCCATGTCTTCAATTAAAAAAATAAAGACTGAGTATTCTTTATCACCCTTCTACAGTGCCCCTCACAGCAATATAATATTTGAGACCTTTTGTGTTTTACCTGTTCAAAGTAGATTGGATTGGATTAGATATTCAAGAGTGAGGATCTGGATTATATATTATCTCTAGTGCACATTATTAAAACACTGGAGCCAACAAATTATAATAAAGACACTTCAAAGCTTAAGAATTACCAGCAGCCATGGCTTTGTTATACAGCAAGCACCAAAAAGCTTGGGATGGTATCAGACA